ACTCACAGAGCCACCACCCTGGTGGAGACTCTTATGACTTCATGACTGCTGCTGTTCAATCATTTCAGTCATGTCTGACTTTTTGTGATCCCACTTGAGGTTTTCTTGGCAAAGATACTGGAGTTATTTGCCATATCCTTCTCCAACTCCTTTCACAGATGAGGCAAACAGAAGGGGCAAACTCATGACCTAGAGTCTGGATCTGGCACTCTATCCACTGCACCATCTAGCTTCCCTGACTTCATGACCAAATGCAATAGACTTCTCCTTGGTCTCATTCCCTCTCCAGGTCTTCACCCCATTTAATTCATCCTCTACTTACCTGCCACAGTGATTGTCCTAAAGGGTAAATCTGAGCATGTTATCTCCACTACTCAATACATTTCTGTAGATCCCTGTTACCTCTAGTATCAAATGTAAAGTCCTTCATTTGGATTTTAAAGGCCTTCACAACCTGGCCCCTTCTCACATTTCTGGTCTTATTCTTCATTCCCTTTCATTTACTCTATAATCCAGCTAAGTGGTACAGTAGATAGAGCTCTGGCCTTGGAATCAAGAAAACTTATCTTCATGAGTTCAAATCCAGCCAAAGACACTTACTAACCGGGTGACCCTAATCAAGTCATTTAACCCTATTTACCTCAGTCCCTCACCTGTAAAATGAATTGGAGAAGAAAATGGCAAACCACTCCAGAAGCTTTGCCGAGAAAAGCCCGAATGGGGTCGAGAAGAATCAGACACAGTGAAATGGCTGAGTAACAGCAACAAAGCCCCAATCCAGCTCCACTGGCCTGCTTGCTTTTCCTCAAATGAGACATCCTGTCTCCTGACTCCATGCCCTCTTACTGCCTGTCCCCCATGCTTGGCATTCTCTCCACCTTCACTTCCTGGAGCCCCTTGTTTCCTTCAAGTCTCAACTCAAATCTAACTTTTTATAGGAGGCCCTGCCCCCTTCCAACCTCTCATCCCCAGCTAGTGCCTTCACTCTAAGACCGTATAAATAGTTGTTTACACGTTGTCTCAACCATTAGCATATGAGCTCCTTGAAGGTGGGAGGGACAGTTTTTGTCCTTTTTTTTTTTTAATATTCACAGCTATTAGTACAGAGTCTGGCACAGAATAAGCACCTAATAAATGCTTGTTGACTAGTCACTTCACTACTCATTCACCTCTCCATTAGTGGGATCATCAAGAGAAATCAATGTGGATATGAGAGGTGGTGAAAACTCAAATAAATCTGCTATGGTCTTTCTTAGCCCATCTGAGTATACAGACATGGGCAGGTTTGAGAATATGTATGTATGTATGTACACCTAAACATACATATAAACATACACAATATGTATGTGTACATGCACATATATGTATATACACACACACACATATATATATATATATATACACACATAATATATTTTAAATCTGTCTTCCCTTAACACATGGCTATCCATTATCTATATTCCTCTGACCCCCATTAGCCCAGATAATTGAGAGCTAGTTGATAAGTGTTTGAATGCAGTGGAGCATATGTTCTTTCAAACTACTCATCTTCACAAATGATGCAAAGATTCTGAAACAATTGGAATTGTTTTGCTCTATAAAACAATATTGAAGTTTTAACATTAAATTAAAATTTTAATATCATTGGAGCTAAAGTGCCTTAAGTCATACCAATTTAGTTGATATTCTCATTCATTATGAGTGCATTTACTATTAATGTTCATTATACAAAACAAACATAAATCCAGGTAACTAAAAGGGAAAAGGCCAAGACTGATTTAGCAAAAGGAATACGAATACACACACACACACACACACACACACACACACACACACACACACACACATACACACATACATTCTCTCTCTCTCTCCACATATACACATACATCACACACATGTAGAAAGAGAGAGAGAGATGCACATACGCACTGTAAATCTAAGTGTGGAATTGTCACTTAAATATGTTTTCTTGAAATGAACCAGCATATGAACTACAGAGAGGGGTACCAACAATTATTTTAGGGGCCCTATTTTGAGAACAACATACAAAGTAATACATTTGCTAAATAGGATGCTTTACAAAAGTCATTCTAAACAAATGATATAACTTTAAGAATCATGCATTAGGTTTTGTAAAAATTGACCTGTAAACATCATTTGCTTTTTTGAAAAAATCAGTACAATCATCAGTATTTTAGATAACTGTGAACACTGATTTTTTAGGCTCATTCCTTTGAATCTTTTATTTATATTACTGTTAGCACTACAGAGAATACTAGAACAGCACACATAAGATAATGTAATTTATAGTAATAGTTCTCATTGCAGCATAATCTGTAGTCAATGGAAGTAGCCTCCTTAGAGAGTAATAATTATAGAAGCACATCTCTCAATGACAATGGCTCATTCATTTGACAATAGTATGCAATGATACATGGTAGGATGAAGGTGAAGGGAAACAAGAAGAAAAATGGCAATAAAATTTGGGGCTCACAATATAAGAACACTCCATCAAAAGACACAGATGTAATTCTCTCTCACTACCTAAGCTAGATTATAGTAAATGTGTAAAAGAGACAGTAGGATTATTTAATGACTGTAACTTAGCTTTGCAGAAGGAAAATATTCTAGCACTGAGAGATACTGGAATAAGGAATGTTTGCTAAAGGGAATTAGTAGGAGTTGGTATAAACTGGTAGATACTTAAGCAAAATCTATGAAAGTAGTAAAGCAAGATCTAAAAGTATCATCAGTTGAAACAGGAGTCAGAATAAGGAAATGATGAATATAGCCCAAATAAGTCTTCCTATGTGATTCCCACTTTGACTCATTTCCACTTAATTAAGCTAAAATTTCATTATAAGTACCATATATTGAAGGGTGGGTTGAACAGAATGAAGAATGAGGATTTAAGAGATGTTTTTAACAATGATAAATAAAAAATAAAAAAAAAAGAGAACTCAGTGTCCTGGTGCTAGAAAACTATTTTCTTAAAATGACATTATTTCAATAAAAATATTTAATTTGCCACTTATGGTCCAAATGTCAGGGGCATGATTCTCATCGGCTGCCAGGGAACATCTGTTTCCTAAATACACAAGGAAGAAACATGGTTATGACCCCTCTGACTCCTCCTCTCCACCAAATTCATATCTTTCCTTTGTTACTCCCTTTGGTGTTTCCAATTAATCCCCTGGATTTCTCTTAAATGTGACAAAAAGGGGGATCTACTGCTTTCAGTATTGACTGATTCTTCTACTTCTTTGCAAAGGTGATTTGAATCTTAGCAATGGTCCTTCAAGGGTCCTGCTAAATGCTGTGTTGCCTGATCTGTTTAGGACTTAACAAATCAAAGAAATTCAGTCTGGAAGTCTGAAAAAAATAAAACATACTTGGTCTCTATCTTTCATTTCATTCTTTTAACTACTAGCAATTACAACTGGTATCTCATAGCTTAGTGATAAGGAGGTAGGAGGGCAGAGGTAGGGAGAAAAAAAGGAGACAATGGGGAAAAAATATAGGTGGGATGATTTGAAACTTGCAAGACAGCTCTCTGATCATCAATGGCAAAGAAACTGGTGCCTTCTCTCTGAGAGATTCCACACAAGCACTTTCTGCCATTCTGAAAGAAGACAAAGTACTTTATCTGAGAGAATGAGAAGGGAGTTAAAAGCGTCCTCTGCTTTCTGAACAAGGGAAGTTGTTTGTCACAGGGACAGAATTGTTACACCCAATAAAATGTGGCAGGGCCTTTGTGACACAATTTCATATTATCTAGTATATCCTTTTCTTTTGGGGAATAAGGGAAGAGAAAAGTCATCTGAAAACAGGAAACATTATGTTTATGTTCAATCTATACATTCACCTGATAATGGGACATTTAAATATAATGTTGGCTACTTATAGTGGACATTTAAGTAGTCAATGGGGAGAAACAATTAAAATTAAAAAAAAAAAAAGCTTTACTCCTGACTTGAAAGCAGACTGTGGGAGGCATTCAATAATTCTGAAAAACTGTGATTATTTAAGTTCACATAACTGCTTATTCTCAAATGTTCCTAAATTACACCTTGATTAGAAATCTTTCCATCTAATCCATGTCTCTTGCATCCCCAGGATTTCAGAACAAATTGACAATCTCTTGTGTGTCTCCTTAACCTTTTTGTATTTTGGTCCATTCTTTGTCCATCTCTCTCTGTGTCTGTCCATCTCTCTGTCTCTGTGTCTCTGTCTCTATGTCTCTGTCTCTCTCTCTTCATTCTTCTTCCTTTTTTGAGACCACATCTCCCCATCTTGCTAGGCTAGAAGTACAATACCTCTTCACAAGCCCAGTGCCACTAGTGACTAAAGTGGGAGCTCTGACCTATTCTTTTCTCTTTGGGGCTGGTTTGCCCCTTCTTATGAAACTTGATTAAGGCTATACCCACTCCTAGAGGCTCACCACATACTAAAGGACCTAGTGGCAACATCTGATCTGATCAACAGAGCTCAGAAACCCTCAGCTCAAGAAATAAGACAACCTCAATGTCTCCAACAGTAGGAATTACAGGTGTGTGCCACCATGCCTACATCATAATCTCTCTTTTTTAAACAGCCTTTTCTTGTAGGATTTTTTTTCATGTATGTTTAGCCACACAGCATTCTAATAGTTTGAGTAACATTTGGAAAAATAGTCTGCTTTTTGTTAGTTTTCATTTCCTCAGAGTTAAGGCTTTTTCTTTCATATAAGTTTACACTTTATATGTGATCTTTTGACATCCTGAAGAAAATTTCAAATCCAAAGAAGAATATATCCTCCAGAATTATGAATCTGGCTATACAACACATTCTTACCTTTTATCCTCTTTTCTTTTGATCTATAGTTTTTGCTGACCTTTTTTAATAACTTCTTGGATTACATAATGAAAATTCACAGCTATATTCAATTATGTTACATCACTTTCCAAGAATGACTATGTTCATTTAGAAATTTTTGTTGTTTGGTCATTGTTTCTTACCCTATTAGAGTCAATTCTTGCTCTGGAAGTATAGATAGGTGGTGGGATATTGAAGGCTTGAGGCACTAAGTATTCCTCAGCATCCATCATATCTTCCAGGTCCTCCTCATCCAGAAGATTCTGGAAGAACTTGCTATCATTTGGACTAGGAAGCTTCATACGATCATCACCCTAAATGCATCAACCATGTGGCAAAAAAAGAAATGTCATTTTAATTATTTCCTTTCATTTTGAACATCTGACTTGTTGCTCACATCTATACAGTAAAATAATAGCTCATTAGAAAATTTCTTCATTCACTTAATAAAGATGCCTCAAGTATCTATTGTGTTCAAGATATACTGAAAGGTCCTTGGGGGATAGAGACAAAGAGTGTTAAAAATTAAACACCATTACTATCCTTAAATAGGGGAGTTAAAACAAGCTAGAAAAAAAAATAAAGAATTCTTCTACAGATAGAATGTGATTAACACAGTTCTGAAAAAAGGGCTATGAACATTCATTTAAAAAGAAAATCACTTCTGGTTGGAAGACCAGGGGAGGCTTGCAGAAAGAATTGTCATAGACTACATGACTGTAAGAATTGATAGGAAAATGCTTCAAAGACCTTCTGGGTTATCAATTTACAAAATGTTCTCAACATTACAGCATATATAATAAGTCACAAAATAATTTTCTGACACTACTGGCATTAGGGAATGTTTACTTAAAAGTAACAACTTCTGATTTGGCATCCCAGTTTTTGAAACTTTTTTTTTTCTTAATTCTACTTTAGAAAAAATTTGAACATTTCTAAGACTATCCTCTTCTTCTTCCCTTCCTTATTTTGTCAATCCCATGCAACTTAATAACCAAATACAGTCTTACCTGTTGTTACTGAGGCATGTTGCCTTACTTATTAAATTAACTGACCTAATATTTGAGTTGAAAGTACCATCAATATTACATATTAAAATGTTCACAATAGTTTTGAAAAGAGGAAAAAGAAGCTCCATCCCCTTAAAAAGACAAATATGATTCATCTGATTTAGAATTCCCTAATCAACATTTTGGAATTTAATAAGTAAGCCATATTTGAGGCTGTTTTCCACCTTCTCATATAGTTCTATTTCATTTTACTCAAGTTATCTCCTTGATAAAAAAGAAACAAGAAAACAAAAGGGGCGTAGAAGTCTAAGAAAATCTTTTTGTTTCTGAAAATCATACTTTAATATATTGAATATTTTGAGTTATTGCCTTCAAGGAAAAGAAAAAAAAGCCTCTCTTTTCTGTGCTTCTGAAGTTTGCAAAATAAAAGACAGCATATGGCTTAGAGATAGGGATAATGTTTGGAAGATTTGGCTGAAGGTAAAGACAATTTGTGAATATGGTAAATCATAATCATCTGGTTGTTCAATCCCAGAAGTAGTTAAAAATTAAGGTATCATTCTTATAAGTGATGCTAATCACTCTGTATAGTAACCCTTTTCTATAAACATCCATTTCTCTAGTTAAAACTGGATGAAATCCTGGCAGGAGGGGAATGTTTATATGATGGAGCTTTTCTTCATATTTCATATTTAATTTGAGTGTTGTTGAGGTAACTGAATAAAGAAAAGCATTCTGGCATTCAAACCAAAAGGTCTTCTCTTAAATATGCTCACCTGAATGACTAGGTATCGTTGAGGGTCACGAGCCATTCTGGAAAATTCAGCAGCCAGTTCTTTGAATTTAGGTCTGCTGTCAGCATCAATCATCCAACCTAGAAGTGCACAGAGAAGAGAGATGAGAACGCAGTCAATGGATAAATGATTTCCTAATAAAAGGAAATTTCAGCATCCCAGGGACTCTGACAGCTAAAGGGTAAACACTTTTCATGTTTCCAGTAAACAAACCTACGAGTTACCTGCAAGAATAAAAGTGTCAGCTGGGGTAAAATAATCCATCTGAACTCATTATTTGACCTGTGCTAACCATAACATACTCTGAAATAACATAAGATAAAAGTAACCTTGTCTCTGACCATTATTTTTCATCTTTTGTCCCATTACTGAAAAATTTGTCTGAATATTCCTAGAATATATAACCCTGACTAAAGCTAGGAATCAGTGGAATGACATGGCATCTCAATTTCTGGATTTTTTTTTTGCCTCATTTTAAGGGCAATTTTGCATTCATGGGGTAGAGATACAAAGAAGTTGGTAACTGAGTTCAAGAAGTGAGGGGGGAGAGGCAGAATTTTGTTAGCATTAAAGCAGGTAGAAAGGGTAAAAAGTGCAAGAAACATATTATATTGTCTCTTTCTTTTTATCCCCCAGCAGGAAAAGCAAATGCAAAGTGATCAGTACTTTATGTTCTGCAAGGGCCATTAGCTTATCTTAGGGCTAGCCTTTTGGAGCCCAAAGATCAAATCAGTCATTTTCAAGGTATATATTATTATTTAGCTGGAAGTCCAGATAAAGTAAGTTTTATCTCCTCAGGCTCTATTTGGTTGATGAGATGACCATGGTAAAAGCATGAAGGTTTTCTTCCTCCCACTCCTCCCCCAAATACACTTTTTTTTTTTGGTGACTTGGAGTCCTTAGCTGAAAAGCTAGGAGAATGTATTAGGCAAAAATTTAACCTACTCCAGCATCATTTTTCATCTTCTCCATGACCCTAATTAAGGAATCAGTTTACAATTTCTGCCATCCTTTCTTGTTTTCTTCTTCCCCCTTACAAGCCTTTCCTAGTCTTTGATGGAACAATGGAACATTTGATTCAGTAATGCTTATTTCTTCATTTCTCAGTGTCTCACCTTTTCTTCAATCCTGCCTTTATGGCTTCAGGTATATGCACATCCAAAATTGAATATCATCATTTCTAAGCTGATGAATTACTGAGATTTTCCGAACTTCCATTTACTAGTTGAACTACAGGCAGTTAACTTCAAAACAGGGGATCAGTTTCTCCCTGGTTGAATACTGAGTAAATAGAAATATGCTTTGTAGTAAAGGGCATGTTGACCTGCACTGGAAAACAAATTCTTTAGTTCTTCCTCCCTGTCAGACTGTATCACACATGTCATGAATTTAAATCTAGGCATAGCCAGGCCCAAAGTCTCTTATTAATAAGATGCTTATTCACCTTCACCAGTTTGCTTCTTTGCGAGCTCCATATAAATCAAAAAGGGGAAAGACCCAGATCATACAGGAGAGATGGCTGTATGTTAATCTCACTTAAATTAAGTCAAAAACACCTGAGACTTTCCTAATTCTATTTAAATTAGAAGTCTAGGCTTTGAAAACACATTTACAATGTGTACTTAGCAGGGAGATGACAAGGAAGGGGAGAAACAGGGCAGAGCTATGGAAAGTCCACTTGTAAACAAATTATCAATTTGAACAAAAGTAAACATTCATAACCTTTTTGTTCTCACAAGGGTCAGTCACCTAAATCCTCTTCATTACTAAAGTTGTGAAGCTTATTTTCATTTAATTCCATTCTGTTTAATACCATGCTCAAGGTTTCTTTTCTCAAATATGTTAGGCATTTATTTAGAGTCAGATTTTTTTTCTTATGAAAAACTATCCATGTAATCAGGTTCAATTATATTTTCTTATTACATTCAACTTGATTGTCATGGAGATGATAAGAATAACGAGAACAGTTAAAATCATATTAATTTGCCTCTATAGCATGGAAATATGGTACCATTGCTAATTAATAATAAGGAAAAAAAGAGCTAAATCAGATCCTTATGGATAAATCCATACTCTTCAAATATAACATTTATATATTTTGTTTATATAGGATTATTCTAAAAAGATCATTGCAAGAATTTTTAATGCATTTCTTGACTAAAAAAGATTGAACCCATGTTAAGAAAATTAAGCAACCTTACATTTGACCATGACCATATAAACATCAATGGTGCAGATAGGAGGCTGAGGCAAGCGTTCTCCTTTCTCTAATAAATCTGGTATTTCTCTTGTTGGGATTCCATCATAAGGCTTTCCACCAAAGGTCATTAGTTCCCAAATGGTGACCCCTAAAATAAAAGAGATTGATTTCTTACTTAAACAAACATAAATCACTTTGATTTGAACAACAATACAGCAGGTCAATTTAAGAATATTTTACCCAGTGTGAAAGCAGAATTTGCCATCATGTTTTCTCTTAAGAACTCAAAGTGCTAATGTAAGTACCATTTCATTGATTCTTACAAGGTCACTGTGAAGCAGATTAGGTGAATTGTATTAGTCTCAGTTTTGAGAGTGAGGATGTAATGAATAGCTATTTCTGTAAACTGGTTTATCTAAGTTCACTAAATCAGTGACTAATGAGCATGGACAGTAGCTTTGGAAGGTGGGCTAGGGACTGGGGGAAATGAAAGTTGCAGGATTTGGAGTGGAAGAAGGGTTAGAGAAGTCTGACCAAAGGTCTCATCATGACACCACTAATAAGAGATCATAAAGATGGTAAAAAGTCTTGTAATGATAAAGTTGAAAATATTATGGATTACAGGATCAAAGATTTTAAGGTAGAAGGAATATGAGGTCATCTACATTATCAACCAATCAACATTTATTAAGTGTCTCCTCTGTTCTAGGCAGTGTGTTAGATGCTAAAGAGAGCTACAAAGACAAAAATGAAAGGTTCTGCCCTCAAAGAAGCTAAATTCTATTAAGGAAGGTAATAGATAGATAGATAGATAGATAGATAGATAGATAGACAGACAGACAGACAGAGCTACGGATATGGATATATACAAAAGAGTTATTTAGTCAATAATATTTAGTAAGTACTACTGTGTGCTAGGCACTATAACTATGCACTAGCATACAAAGAAAGCTAAACGTAGTCCCTGCCCTCTTAAAGTTTAGATTCTAAAGGGAGAGAAACATGAAAATAGATAGACTCAAGAAGTGAAGATGGAAGGTAATCTCAAAAGAGAAGGCACTAGCAGCTGGAGGGACTGGGAAAGGCAGTGGAAGCATGGGGTTAGTCAGTGCAAAGTCAGGAAATAAGAGATGGAATACTATGTGAGAGGAATAGCAAGTAAACCACTATATTTCCATTGTATATCATGTGGAAGTAGTGACATACAAGAAGGATGTAAAGGTAGGAAGAGGCATGTCTCTGAAAGCAAAGAATTCAGGGGCCTGCCAAACCTACAAATTCATAGATGATTTCTGGTAGTTCCTTTGATTGAAAACATCATCATCTTGTGGCCAATCTAATGATGGGGTAAATTCACCAGATAATCTTCAACAATTAATACCACAAAAGGATAAGAACTGAAAAGAAAAGCCACAGCTACCTCTTTTTAAAATGTTAAATGAACACCTGACTTTTTACATGTAGTCATATCAAATGAATAAAAGGTAGGCAAGTATTTTTGGCTCCTCTATGTAGGATGGGAGTTTAGTACCAAAATATCTAAGTAGAAGTGGGGTCTCCCTTATTCATTCATTCATTCATTCACTTAATGAATGATTTATTTATTAATTCATTAACCAAACACCTAAGTGCTTCCAGTGGTATCATGCAAGGTGTTAGTGATATAAAACAGCATGACAAGAAGATGACAATCTAAATGAGGTTTGCTCTCTTTGTTACAAGGTTTATCCTATTACATGGCCTCCCTCCTCCAAAAAGAAAATCTTTTAGTCTCCATGCAGTTACCTTTTCATTAGGAGAGAGAATTCTAAAACAGGACCCTACTCCTCTGTGCCCTGACTTGATGTTTGGCTATTTATCCTGAGGATGTGTTTAGATTTCATCTCAACTTCTAATGTATATATATATATATATACTTCATTAATTGGAAAACTTATAACTTTACCAAAGTGCTGCTTCTACTCAAAGACAGTGAAACCACCACCCACATTTAATAAATGCTTTTTATCAGTTGCTTGGCTAAGCATTTCATGGCCTAGCTATCAGTGCTTTGGGTGATGAGCTTTTCCAAACTTAGTTGTGTTGGTCCTTTTACAACATTTATACAATCTATCATTGGGACCATACATGAAGTCTATGGGAGTAACTTAATGGAATTTGCCCAAATTTGTGCACTCTTGATATTTATCTATCTATACATACATACATACATACATACATACACACACATGTGTATGGATATGTATGCATATATGCACACATATACATATATACAGGTATACTTATATACATACTATACGAATATCTATATCTATCCATGTAGCAATGTATAAATCAATTAATCAATCTATCTATCCTTGTAGAATTCAGAGTCTTTTTCTCACTATGAGGAAACACTGAGGAAGAACATTAGTGGAAGAATGGCACATATTATAGAGTACTGGAATAAACATATTATGCACTAAATGTCACTGAAGGCCAAGGATGGAAATCATGAACTATGAGTAGGGGTTAAACATTGGAGGATTGGAAGGAAATGAAAAGATTTGTTGGTAAGAGGGAAAGTATAGGCTAGGCAAATGACAGGTCATGTTTATGTAGCATGTTTATTAAGCTTACAGAGTTTTCAAATACAATATCTCATTTGAGCATCACAGTAAGAGTTAGATAGTGCAGATATTATTATTTCCATTTACTGATGAGGAAATTGAGTCTCAGAGAGATGAAATGACTCCCATATAATTACTAAAAGGCAGAGCCAATATTTGAATCATGCAGTCTAATTTGGGTAAAGCAGATTTCAAAAGGTTCAAATGCAAGGTAGATAGGATCCCATAGAGAAAAATGCTTTTAGAGGAAGTTAGCTGAGGAGGATTATGAACAAATATTCAAAAAATGAAATCTGAAAATACAAAAAAAGTTCCAATGGGAAGGAAAAATGGGATTTAGCCAATTATCCAATTACACCAATATGGATGCCCTGTGAACTCAACAACAGCAGCAATGACACACATACACTCAGAGAACAGCAGGGGACAAGAGATGAACGTAAACATATGTTATGTTCCTTTAAAAGTAACATAAGCAATGATAAAGCTCAGAGAGAGCTACACCTGGTTAGAGAAGCTAAGGACTACAAAAGTTTTTGCTTTTGTTAAAAACTATATTTGTAGGAAAGGAAGGATCAGAGAAAAGATAGGACGTTTGCTTGTGATGGATGGGATGACGAGTGATAACTTGGGGAAGGCACAACTGTACAACTTGTATTTGTTTCTCTTGATTCTGCAAAGGAAAATGACCTTTACACTAAACAGGACAGAAAAAAAAAGACACTAACAGGGGCTTGATACCCATGGTAAGTAAGGTAATAGGAAGAGACCATCTAGCTGCCCTTAATAAATTTAAGTCTTCTGACCCAGATGAACTACTACTCAGGTCTGACAAGAACTGGCAGATGTGATTACTGAACCACTGTCTGTGATATTTGAAAGACTGTGGAGAATACGAGGTACAGGATTAGAAAAGAGCAATTATTATCCTTATTTTCAGAATCTATAAATCATATAGGTCCAAAAGAGGGCAACCAAGACGATCAAGAACTTTGAGTCTATGGCATAGGAGGATTGATTGAACAAATACACATGTTTATCCTGAAGAAGAGAAGACTCAGAGGGACATGATCATTGACTCCCCAAATCTGAAGAGCTGTCATGGGGAAGATAACTTAGATTGGTTCCATTTGGCACCAAAGGGCAGAACTGAGAGCAGTGAGTGGAAGTTGTGAAGGGGTAAATTTAGGTTTCATTATAGAGAACAAAATAAACAGAGCTGTCCCCAGATGGAATAACCTCCTCCAGAGGAGGTGAATTCTGACTCCTTGGAAGGCTGGATAGTCTGCTGGCAGGTATAGTACGGACAGGTATCCCTTCCACACAAGGGTTGGTGAAGTGGCCACTGAGTTGGAAGGGAGGCCAATTCTCAAATCCTATGCTTCTGTGATTTTGTGAAATAAAGAGTTCTTTATTTATTTAAGTTCTTCACTCTGTTATCTTTGTTGTATTTCCCTTAGTTCCTCCCATATTGGTTTGTACATTGTAGGTGCTTAACAAATGACTAATAAATGAAGATAAAAAATATCTTTTATCCTTATCATGAATCTAACTCTAACAAATAAAAACATACTTCCCTAAATTACTAGAATGTTGATTTCATCTGTCAGTGAATGTTAGAAGACAGTTGATGTCAAAATTAGTCAGCTAATCTTGACATTAATTACAGACCAAACTTAACTTGTAACATATACACTACTATGCACATAGGATGACTCTTAAACCTTCCACCCTACAAATATAACTGTTAATTTACAATATAGACAAGGCCACATTTAAAAGTGCTTTCCATAAGATATATGTATATTTTTCCAAATGGGTTAAGATGGGTAAGTTTTGAAATGGCAGTTGTGGGGGTAGGGTGCTTAGTCTATTAACAGAGAATGTCTATTAGTAGATTTATTTATTAGAGCCACATTTACAGTTCCATCACCAACAGCAAACATTTATTTGTTTGAGCTGAGATCTCCCTGGTTTGTAACTGTGGTTGCCTGTTAATAGGAAATTATATGCTTTAGTTTTACCAGAATGTGTGAATGGCACAGTTTGACATTTCCTCCCATGACCTAGTCTAGCTCCAAATTTTTAAGAAATTATATGTACTCCACTAAAAATCCTTCTTAAATTTCAGTGTACAGAGTTAATAGTTATCATCAGGCAATGGGGAGTCAGAAACATTTTGCACAAGAGGAAGATGTGATCAGAATTGTATTTTAGGAAAATTACTTGGGGAGAAAGGTGAAGGATGGATTGAAAAGAGGAGAGACTAGAGACAAGAAGGCCAGGTAGGAGGCTGTTACAATAATATAGGTAAGAGAGAATAAGGCCCTGAATGAGAGTGACATCAGTATGGATGGAAAGGAAGAGACAGATGGGAGGTACTCTGTGGAGATAATGAAAAGGAAAAATGGATTCAGAATGATATTAAATTTTTCAGTCTGGGACACTGGAAGGGTCACAGTACCATCAACAGAAATAGAAGGAAGTAGAAAGGGTGGCCATATGAGAGATTCAGTTTGAAGCATGCTAAGTTTGAGGTATGTGGAATATTGAGATAGAAATATCCAACAGGAAGTTATAAATATGGAACTGGGGCTCTGGGAGAAAATGGAGAGTCAAAAGAGTCTTTCAAGTCATCTATATTGAGGTGATAACTGAAGCCACTGAAGTGGATGCCATCAGCAAGGGAAAGAGTGCAGCGAATCTGAACAAACACAATGCTCAACAATTAGCAGAAACATAAAATACAATTACCAATTAACATGGTAATTGAGGTTGAAAAAGTGGCACAATGAAAAAGAAATGACTAGTCTGGAGTCAGAAGGTTAAGTGCGGTTGTTTGTTTTTTTTATTATTATTTGTTTTGTTTTAGTTTTGCTATGTGTTTCCAGTATGGCTTTCTGCAAGTCATCTAACCTTTCTGGGCCTCCATATTCTATAAAATAAGGGCCCTAAACAAAAACATTTTGAAATGTCCCATCTATATCCAATGATAAATTCCTATAATATCTCTATGGGGTTAAACACAGGAGGCTTCATGTAAAAGGGGAGTCATGTAAGTTGTAAACAAGCATAAAACCTCTCCTGATTTTTTATCATTTAAGGATATATACACATCGTGGCAGATACATATTTATTTTTACAAAAATAAAGATGCTCCCAGTAGCAATTTTCCACAATGTGCATAGCTGAACAAGGTTATATGTGACTTTCTCTGTCTTGGAAGTCTCCAGCAATCATTGATGATATTTCTTAAAGCATTTTATGGATTTGGTTTGATGGTTTGTGCTGTGTTTCAAAGCAGCACACACAAACTTCTCTCTCTCTCTCTCTCTCTCTCTCTCTCTCTCTCTCTCTCTCTCAGCCCCTGGGATTTTGCAGTTCAATACGAAGATAAATAATGTAGCACAAGTAACAGAATTTCTCCCAAAAGACAAACTTTAATATTAAAAATGTGACTGCTTTCCCAACATTTTGTCTCTCTCTTTTTTTTTTTTTTGCTTTAAAGGTCATTTAAAATTTGCCCGCAGCCTTATAATAATATTTAGCAAGGTGTTACTTCACACCCAGGGAGATACAGGTAAAATATTACATATGTGTATATATGTATATAGCATATATATATATACACACATATATATATGTACACATACAAGATAGCTGTTTTCTCCCTCATTCTTCTCACTGCATATACCAAACAAGTTTTGTCAAGCATTTCCTGCTGCACTCTTCAAAATTACATATGAACAGAAATTTGTGTTTTCAAATTGAGATGGCAAAATTTGGGGTGCATGAAGATTATATAATTTTAATGGGTCATACGCATCAAAGAAAGTTGTTTTAAAGCAATATCATTAACACATCTCCCCTCCCCCCTTGTCTGGGTAAGGAAGGCAAATTAGTTTACTCATCAATAGTCATTTTCAGTAGTCCCCAAAGGGTTAGGGTTAACACGAAATATCAAGCCATAACAATAGTCGGTTGGATATGGCTTTCAACCACATGCTCTAATGTAGAGTGGACATCATGCTTAGTACTGTTGATGGTAAACTGTTAGTGTTGGGTAGTGTTTCACTAGGGAAGATGAAGCCCTATACTTGCTCACACCTGGAATGACTTGTGGCAAACACTCTCAGCTTGCTAAGCAGCTCATGCTGACATAGTTAAAAACAACTAAATAAATGTCTGTTTTTAAAAATCCACCCAGCTTCAGTTCTGATTACACATCATCTGACCTTTCTGATTGCTCCCAAAGTTATTTGTGAAATTAAAACCAAATCTGTAGCGAGTAATCTCTCTCTCTCACTTTCCAACTCCTTCCTTATTCAGTGTACTCCCCCATTCTCTTCCATGTTTGCTCTGTTATGACAAATTCCCTTTTATCTGACTGTAGTACAGAAACTTCCATAAGCTAGAAAATGTTTTTTGACATTCATTGCTTTTAGAGTTGGATTTTCAAAGAGCTGTTGAAAATTATGGCCTTGAGCCATATGATTCCATGAATCTGTGCCTAAACTAAAAGAGGCTTCTTTTTTCTTCTCTGTCACAATGATCAGCCAAAGTGCTACCAGACTAGAGCTAACGGCAGACAGCCCAGCAGGGAGACTGCGATATTACATTTTAGTGAGCAGGGAAATAACACAGAAGACAGGTAAAGATACCATTTAGATTTATTTTTTTAAAAAAGTAAGGAAGAGAAAATACTTAACTCCCTTAGGAAAAGAGGCTTAATAAATATGTACCACTAGCACAATAAAATGACTTGGCTTTGGAAAAGCTGAAAACCCCAAAGCCTTAAATCACGATCAGAAATTTACTAACCATAGCTCCAAACGTCACTCTGATGGGTGAATTTCCTATAGTGGATGCACTCCAGGGCCATCCATTTAATTGGCATCTAAAAAAAAAAACAAGGAAATGAGAGTTTTATAATTACATAAAAAGCCAATCTTGTTTTCATTCTCCAAATCTGATTATTTTAACTTGTCCATACCTACTCCCATCTACATAGCTCTATTTATTTTCTAGGTAGAAAACAAATGCACAGATGAAGGGTAGTTCATAAGATAAAATGTAATATCCTCCAGGAGGATATAAAGCCTATGCTTTATAAGAAACACAAAGTCAAATATACTAGACACCCTTTAATATAATCTCAGGCTAATATCATCAATCCAATATGGTAAACTCATAACATTGAATCCAAATATTCTTTTTTATGCTTGCAAAGTTGATCCAACTTTGTCTATTGCTATCTGTTGGAGACTTCTGGAGATCCTAATATCTTCTAAACTTTTTATCTTGCCAACAGGTCTGGATGTGCTAGATCGTTTTCCAATCTCTTCTCCAATTCAAATTAGAGAGCAGTGGCTTTGTCTTTAACCCTTATCCTAATTAACCATCTTGGAAAATATGTACTGTTCAGAAGGGGAGCCGGACAAGAGTAAATGGACGGAATATCTAGCACAAAGTCAGCACCATTGTTGGGGAAAAAGTGTCAGAATCTAGACCTTCCTGCTGGGGGTCAGAAGCATCATCTCTATATATGATCAGAAGAATTATAGAACAAATATAATTAAATTCACTAGAACAAAAATAAACACTCGTACTATGCAGTTGGAAGTTAAAAATGAAACAGGACTTTAAAATCATAAGAGGTTGGCTGCCCACCAAGGTGACATCAAGGTAACTCTCTGACAGAATCATAGCATTCAAGGAAAGGGAACAGCACCCATGTGGAAGGTAATTTCCCCAAAGGCAAGAATTTAGCGTACTTTATGGACTAGAGGACACTCAGTTAAAGAAGCAAGTTTAAATCGCAAGTGGCTTGATAAAGACTTAATGATTCCTAGGTATTTAAAGCTGTAATGAATCTTACTTTAGACAAACTTTACAGCTGTATATACTCAAGAACATTAAAGATATATGATTTATGCACTTCTGGGGCCTTCTGCACAATCTTGCTATGTGATCTTAAGCCTTAACATTCCCAAGTATCAAGCTCTTGAAATCCAAACTATAAATACTCAATTTATTTTATGCTAATTCTCATTAGCCTAGAACAGATGAGGGTAAAAGTAAAACAGTGTTGTAAGATTGACACTGTTTATGAACACTGTATTAATTTGACCTTTTAAGGGGTCTTGCATTTATAAAGACATTTATAGGAAGTTTTAATGAGGAAAAAAATCACTTGCCAAAATTTTACTGCCTGCTAGTTGAACAAGAAGATTCCTGGGAAAGTTCGAATTTCAAAAGTACAGAGTAAATATACACATAGCATACGTTGGATATGTAAATGGTTTTCCTTAAAACTCATGGATATATTTACATGCTTTTTAAAAATAAATTTAGTCTGGTGCAGGGAAAAGAGCCTTGAATTTAGAGTCAGAAAACCAAAGTTTAATGTAAGTTCTAGCTCTTACCAATTACGAGTTCTTAGATATGATTTTCCTTCTCTCTGGATCTCAGTGTACCAATATATAAAATGAGAAAGTTGGAGAGGGGATTGCTAAGCTGCTTTCTAATTCAAAATGTTACCCACAAGGCAACAAGAACTTTATTGAGCACTCACTGCTCAGTTTCTGGGATATAAATATAAACAAAAAGAAAAACAATCCTTGCCTTCAAGCAGCTTACATTCTAAAGGGGAAAGACAACATTAAAAAAAATAAAGCTAAATAGGGTAGAGGGCAGGAGAAAAAAGCCTCTAGAGTCAAAAGAGGATCACAGAGAATTGATTTTTATTTTGTTACTAAGACAAACACAAAAATGAGAGGTATTCAAACACTTCATATTTATTAGTCTTTCTTCTAAACAGCAATACACACCTTCCCTCCATCAGCATTATATTCCTTCTCATCCCCTTCTAAGAGTCTGGCCAGACCAAAGTCAGTGATCTTCACGTGGTTTGGTGACTTCACCAAGACATTACGAGCTGCCAGGTCTCGATGAACAAGGCGCCTCTCTTCCAGGTACATCATCCCCTGCAAGAACAGCCAACCCCAAACAATCATTAGTTATATCCAGTGCTTTTCTTTTCTCCTCTACAACTGACTGATTTTGCCTTCTCTTGAAAGGACTTAATCTCTCCCAAACGAAGCATTAAGGCTGGCTATTTTCAAAATTCTCAGTAAGCTGTGGAAAAAAATAAATCCCCAGATGTTTCTTGACTTCTTTCCATTAATATCATATAGGGAAGAATGTGATGCCTACATATGGGGATCAATGTTTGTTCATTTTTCTTAGCCTATACAACCTCTTACAAGAAGCCTCACTAATGAATAATCCAAGTGTCTTAACCGATAACACTCCAGTTGACCATCTTAGAGTCTCCTAATCATTTTCTTCCTAGATGAGAGGCTAACCTTCTGCATTCAAAAAAAAAAAAAAATTTACATGATGTTTTGCAGTACCAAGATCACCACCACAGTTTAGGTTTATTAATTATACTAAAAAGAATGGGCTCCTTAGGGTGTTGGAAGCCTATAATTTCATAAGGAGACTTCTATGACATTAGTAGTCATTATGAGAACCTACAGATGAAGTTGCATGTTTTATAATTACCCTCAACATATCCTTTAATACACTGACTCCTGAAAACACATAAGGTCATTCTTTAAAACCTACTGGTGAATAACACAATTAAAAACACATATAAACTGGAAAGTTCAAAGAGGTACAACAAGCTATTTAAAAAGAAAAAAAATATTTAGTATATATATGTATGTATGTATGTACGTATCTATCTATGTATGTATATAGACACTAAATGAATTAATTCAAACCCTTCTATGAATTACGATTAGCTCTGGAGAAGGGAATCCAAGAGCCCTGAAACAAACTTCAGTGAAAATATTTTGGTGACAGACACAATGAGATAATTTCAGAGGTTTTTATTATATTGCATATCACTGAAGATGGTGGATGATATAATAGTGAGAGAATAACTAAAGGCAATCCAGTCCCTGTAACAGTGGATTTCAGTGGCAACAGATATCATTCAATATGTAACAATTATTATAAAGATATAGATGGATGAAGTATGCCTTCTTGCCAATTGCAAATCAATGCTGTTGGCAGTCAACATTAGAACTGTGGGACTTTGAAGGATTAACAATTTCTGACATCAAAACAAAAGCTGGAGAAAACAGACAAATAAATCACATAGGTCAAGCGATTATGGACTGCACACCAGCCATAGGAGGAAGTAGAAGATTGCTTTAGAAAACATCATGATTCAAACCTAGTATAAATGCCTGATAAACAACACCAATAAGAGATACTGCATAACACAGTCCAATCAGTCACAAGCTGTGACACCCCATGAATTGGTGGCATCTATGAATACTCTTAAATTTCTTAAATCAACACAGACTTGAGGATTTATGTGTTGCTTTTCTTATTTCTTGAACACCAGTTTTCTCTAGGCCCCTCAAAATAAGAAATTCCTAGAAGGTAGAGAATCTGAAAAAATATATGGTTCCTTCTATCTGCTAAAGAAACATTAAGTCTTCTAAGTAAAAGAAATTTCATGATTTTAAGGAATATATTCTCAAATCTCAAAAACTGGTTTTGGAGCAACAAATAAAAGCCACTTTTTTTCCCCACCTTTATATCAGGGTGGTAGACACACTCTGATGTTGAGTTTCATCAATGTTGGACAATTTACATTTGAGGATAGAAACCACATATGTGCTTTTTAAAGTGACAGGAATACTAAAAAACTAATTGTTTGGAACCATCAGAAAAGCACTTCTTAAATACTGACAAGAATTACAATGTATATTTTCATCTTTATTCAGCAGTAGGGGTTTGTGTGAATAAATCTTCTGTCAGCAAGACATGCCCTTAACATATACTAGCTGTGTGGCTATGGGCAAGTCAGTTTAGTGTTATTAACTCTAAATTCTAAATATGATCTGAAAAACCCTGGCATCTTTTCCATTTTATCCTGTAGACACAATGTCAGACATCTGATTTGCTACAATAAATGACAAGGTTTACTTTTATTGATTTATATATGTTTTTGCTTTACAGTAAAAAGAACTAAAGGATATCAGGTCATAACCACTACATAATTCTTCATAACCCCCCCCCAAATGAAAGTATGCTCATTATTTTCTTTCCTCTCTAAAAATGACTATTTGTCACATAGGACGGCTGTCTGGGAGAGGGTGGGGAAGGGATCATTGCAATAACTATGACGATGTAAGAAATAGAAAATATCAGTAAGGATTTATTTACAAAAAAAAAAAAGAGCACCATGCCCAAATAGGTAAATAATAAAAACTTTAACTTCAATGTTTCCCAAAGTATATTTCCAGGGACATTGGTATGCCATGTGATATGAATAGGGGTTCTATAAGAATATTCTTATGTTAATACTTCCATTTTAAAATAGCTAATGTATAAAAGCTTTTATGTATAGCAATTTTTGAGTATGAGTATCTTCAAAATTTCTCTAACTTCCATTTATCTTGGAGGTATTCCATAACATCAGACCAACTCCTCCCCAAGATCTTCACTGAATCAGCATTCATAGGTTTCATCAATACATTTCAAGGTCAAAAATGTTCTGTGGCAAAGCTAGTTTGGAAAATGAAACTTTATCATCACCACCATCTACCTAAAATCTTCTGCATTACCAGGAACCATTAGAGTGTTGGTCTATAGATTAGAGAATTGTACATAATGAATTTAAGCTCTTTGAGGGCAGGCACTCCTTCATTTTTTTGCCTCTGAAGCCTCTCATATGGTATCTGGAACCAAGTAGAAACTAAAAAAGTACTTGATTAACTGATGTCTGCTCACTTGATGTGAGACAGTGTAAATAAGAGACTTGGGTTGATTCCAGATTCATAATAGATGGTACCACTGCAATAATGTTATTAGGATTGTTGCTTCATTTTTCCTCACTAGAAAATACCATTTGAGTTCCATTTGCTGCCTATATATGCTAATATACAATCACTTTCTAAGTCAGGATGTTATTTTATTAAGGAGTCATAGGATTGTTAGAAATAGTGGTGACAAAAAAAAGCAGGTGAACAAAAAGAAGTCATCTTAAATTTAATGAAAGATGGTGACAGATTTCAAGGTGGAATAGATAATAGAAAGAAGAATGCTAATTCTAATATTGATTCATTGTATTAACCTAGGAAGTCCTTATGACTACATAGTTTTAGTTATGCCACAAAGCAGCAATTACCACACATAACAAAGGCTTATCGTGAGGATGAACAAATTCATTACTGAAACTAATGTAAGTTTGTACCATTTTAAGAGTTCTTTCAATGAAAAAAATTCTATTTTGCAAAGAAATGATTTTCTCACCAAATATTTATGAAAATGTGTATGAACATTACAATAAATTTATTCTCCATAACTGCCATTTATAGTGAGCAGGTTGGCCTCAGAGTCAGTAAAACCTACCAATAGCATTATACTAACTGTGCCATCACAGGGAAGCCACTTAACCTCTCAATTCCCCTAAGCAAATCTCTACAACTATAAGTTACAGACAAGTTACTGTTTATATCATTGGAAAGAGCATCAGTTCTGGGAGTTTTCACCATTGGAATCATAGGAATGAACCCACACTTCACAAAATTAAAAACAACAACAACAAAAAATTTTTCTCATCCAGTTTTTTTTAAAAAAAAGTTATTGAGCCTTTTGGAATATATCAGAGTTAAAGCAAAAGAATTTTTTCCTTTTCTATGAAGCTCAGTCTTTCCCTCACCATGTATGTAGGCACCATTGGTAATAATGTGTATCATATACACCCTATGAAGTACCCATATTCATTAGCCTATTTCTGTAATTTTGCATAACACAGAGACAGTGGATACTAAAGAAATAATTATGGATGATGATGATTATGGGATATATAACCAATATATCAAATCTGATACATGGAGATAAGAAAGGAAAATACATTTTAAAGTAATCATCAACAAAAATAACATATTTATTAAAGGTTCACCTGTAGATATTGCATTATGGGGCAGTGGACAATGAAAACTACATTTGCTACCTTTTGGAAACATATAAGGAATTCAATACATATTTAAATTATCAGCAGCCTCTTACACATGAGGATCTAGGAAACAATATCTAGAAGAGAAAGAAATGTCAAGATTATATAAAGTATTTATTTGGGCAGGGGTTATTGATTATTTTGAAACAATCTCTTCAGATCTGAAGTGGCATCTACAATGCCCTGAGACTATAATCGATCATTTTCTGACAGGAAAATGCCATAAAATAAAATGAGCCATCATATGATACTAGCAAATCAAAGTACCTTGGGATTCAGGACAGAAGAGCCCATGCCCTCACACCCTGGAGTGAAGGCAGGCCTTTGAGTTTAAAGGAAGCACTGCAATGCAGCAGAAGAGACTCCTAAAATATCAGAATTGCTGCAATAGCAGATATATGACAGGACACGTCCACACAGCAATAAAGCCAAAGGGCCCAAAATAAAAGCAAGGCATCATTTCCACAAACTTAGCTTTGGACCTGGTCTCAGTCAGAATCTCGTCACACTGTAGGTCTGGCTCTTGAGGTTTCCTTTCTGGAAGATGTGTGTGTTGCTTTCTTACTTTATCACACAGAAAGCATTTCTGTAAGCAAGGTATCAGTCATTTGTCACTGAGTACCAAAAGGGAGTTATCGGGCAACAATGTTTTGGGGGCTTTTGTCTAGTTCATGATTGAATAGTTGCACAATGGGTTTTATCCAAAATTGTTCAGACGTGACTAGTTGTCTTATTATACCTTTTATTACTTTGTGAAAGTCTTGCTTATTTTATTTTAGGTAACATTTTCATCCCTTAAAAGTAAATAAATGTAAGTTAACTTAAGGTAATCCAGCTCCTGGACTTTCAAAATCTGTTTGAAATCCACCTCAGGATTATAGTTGAAATGAAAGTTTTAATCTCTTTTTAGAATTGATTCATGCAAACTAATAATCTTTTGGAATT